TGGCTCCTGAGGGGGGCTCGCTGGTGGCTGGAAATGTGGGTACTGGGGCCGTCAGTCGGTGCCTGTAACGTGCGTTTTGGGATTCCCCTTCCCGTTTCGCTTGGGTACAACGTAGCTTCCCCCTGGGCCGGCCGGGGTGAGCCTGTGGCCGGCCTCCGGTCCCCCCAGCCCGCCCCGACCGCCGTCCGGCCTTCGGAAACGCGGTGCCGCTGCTTTGGTGGTGTTTTTCGCAAGACCCTCTGAGAGGAGTACTAGTTTTATAGGGGTCGAGAGTAAACATGGCCGTAGAGACATAGGCAATGTGGATGAGATGCCTGAAAGTATTTTCTCCGTAAAATTTTAAACTGTCCGGACGGGCCCTGGTGACCCCACCATCCCGCTGAAAAGGCAGCCCGAGCTTTTCTCAGCATGGGGACCTGCTTCATTTCCAGTGGGAGTATTGCTCCTGAAAGCATTCATTTTAAATAAAGTTTCTAAATGTGGAATTAGTTTGACAATATCCCAGGCATACGGGAAAGCAGCACCCATGTATGTTTTCTCAGAACTGAACTATTTGTTTCATTTCTGGTGAGCTGTGTTTGTATTACTATGTTCAGGGGGAAAAAACGTGTTACGTCTGCTGTGTTAAAAGAGGAGAAGGAACCCCATGCTGGTATGTCTATAATATGAGGCTCGGGAGAAATGTAGTTTTATGCTTTATAAGTGATTTTTTCCTTTTTCAACCTGACCTAGCAACTGGAGTAAAAAAAAAAAAAAAGCCCCAAAACCATATGATGGAAAAGAATTACTGTTTTAGAGAACATGAGACAACAACTAATGCAACTAGTTATTTGGCCTTTCAAAGTTCAGATGCACTTTGTATTTGCGCTCTGGAGCTACCTCAGAACCACCGTAGTTTTCTTTGGTATGGGGGAACTAGTTGTGATGTTTTGTTTTATTTTGCTGGTTTAGGTTGTGGAACATTGGCAGTGCTGGAGCAAAATGAAGCTGGGATTGTTCTGCTCAGGAGGTAACATAGGTTTATGTTTTATTTTTGCAAGAGAAAAACCTATTATGTACCTGTGAGTACAAGACACAACTGAAATATTTTCGATTATTGTTAGTGATAAAAAGTATTGTATACATGCTATAGTATCTACTGAATATATGTCTTTGTGTTTATGTCAAATGTATTTACATACAAATGATAGGTTTACATTGCATAGATTTTGTTATAGGAAGTAATCTGGATTGAACCCTTTCTGTAGTGTAAACAAAAGTGGCGTCTCTGTCCTAGCTTGAAATTAAAAGTTTTAGCTTCTTAAGGAACAGTGCATTGCCACCTGAGTTTATGCTCTTACAATTGACTTATACTGAAAATAGAGCGGGAGGCTGTGTGAAGTCAAGGAGGTCTTTCCTAGGAGATCCAGTATTCTAAGGATTTGAGAGGAGTTTGTTTTGTGTTGTGGACAGGAGGAGGAGAAAGGTTAGGAAGCAGGGGGTTTAATACTTGACTGTCACTGACGTAAATTTTTTTTAAAGGAAGTTTTGAAACAGCAGTAGGCTGAAACAGAAATACTTAACAAATAGTTAATCATATTCAGACAAACTGTTTTTACTTCATAATTATAAAGCCAGACTCTTTGAGGCTGTTCAACAGTCTGTTAGTCCTGCTAAGTGCTATGGTTCAGTACTGTTCATTTCTATGTTTCCAGTGACTCCACTTACTTTGTGGTAGAAAGACCTGTAACTTCCTGAGCCCTAAGCTCTGTCATTTTCTCTATTGAAACATTCTGTGTGCGTGCCTTTCCATCATCATTATTGCAGTGTGCCATGAAATTTAACCTGAGCTTAGCTGAACCTTCAGTCAAAAGGGAGTAAATAAATTCATATTTACCATCAGATAACAGCATGATCATAGGTGGTTGTTGCAGAGCAACTAATACATGGTATCAGATCCCGTGTGATGAATTGTTGGTGTGTTGAAAGCCCTTTTAAGTGAGCATAGAGATCTTTAATATGTTCATAACTGTCTTTCCATTCGTTTTTCATTGTGAGTCAGCTTCCTAATGGTGTTGTGAATTGGATAGAGCTCTCCCAACACAGATTTATTTCTTTGTTTACTACATCTGGTACAGACAAAGGGCTCCTACCTCTGTGGCAACATCATGGAGAAACCATAGATCAGACTGAGGCATGTGGTACCTTTGTCTCTGCCTGCCTGACAAGTTTAAGGCTGAAATCAGATTTCATTCTCTGTGTGTGGGAGGTCCTTGGCTCATTCATGCTTTAACTTAAACAACCTATTCTGGCATGCAGCTGTAAAAGTTGACATTATAACAAGTAAGTTACTCATAACCCAAATATATAAAAATGCTGTTTAGAATGGTAAAGAGGGTGATTTAAAGAAATACTGTCTTTGCATGTAACTAGTCCAGACTTTTATGTCGTGCTTTCTTATGGACAAATATCTTAATTGTTCCGATTTAGTTTTGACTGGAATGATGGCCTGTTTGATGTGACCTGGAGTGAGAATAATGAACATGTGTTGATCACTTCTAGCGGAGATGGATCGCTGCAAATCTGGGATACAGCTAAAACCAAAGGTCCGCTGCAAGTCTATAAAGAGCACACTCAGGAGGTAAACCAGGCAAACTTGAAAAATTTAATGGATGATCTAATGTTTGAATTATCGAAAGATTTATTGTTGGACTTATAATCAAAAGTGGGTTTTGTTATCTATTCTTAAACTTTGTTTGGGTCCGTGGTTTGAGTTTATAACTTAACATTATTTTGAATATAAAGTGAATTACCTATTGTACATACTCATTTATATATTTGTACACTGTAGTAGGTACCACTTAATTACATAAATTAATATATTCAGAAATAGCTTTTGTGGTTTCTTATAGGGTAGGTAATCATTGTGTTGTATGAAAGTACTGCAGTCATTCTGTAATTTTTAGAGAGCGTTATTGGATAGGTCTAAATCAGACAGCTGATGTATATAGCAGTGTTATCCTTGAAGATGTAAAGTGATACACGTTATGCAGATCCTTAGGACTTCTGTTGTACCTGGGAACTGCTTATCCTTTTCCATTCTAGCATCTGTGGGATCATACTCAAATAAAAGTAGTCAGATATTGGGACAGCATGTATTTTTCTTAGCCTTGGTTTGATATCGTTGCATTTGATTTTTCTTAAAATCTCAGTTTATTTATGCAGTGCAATAGGGTAGAGAAAAATTTTATATTGATGTTCATAAATGTATTTGCATATTTTTAAGGATATTTATGCTTTAGTATATTTATCTTTCCCCAAGTGATTTTTCTACTCTCCTTTTTTTTTTTACATGCATTTTTATTAAGTCTCCACTCACTTCTGTCAAGTCTTTGAACTTTAGATGCAATCAGTTTTCACCCAGATTACTGACTCTTTATCTAAATGACATAAATCTGAATAAAATAACCTAGTGGATATGCAGTCAATAAAAAATGATGGAGGAAATCCAGTTTTGTATTCACAAAGACCTCAAGGTTTTTTCAAATATGAAGCACAAAGCTAAAAGCTGAGTGACTGCAGCTACATGACAGTCTGTCTTCTGTACCTTATTTCTTTGTAATTTTGCTTTGGTTTAATACATGTGCTATGTAAACAAAAAAATTTAAGAGATGAGTTTGTAGTTGCAATTGGGATTTTATGATAGTGTTCAAAGGCTGATGGTAGTAACAGAAAGATGTAGGCGAAGCATAATACCAAATTTGTGGGGGTTTTGTCTCTTATCATTTTTTCATTGAAATTCTGTCCATAAGTTTATTTTGGTTCTGCTGCACCATCTGTTGTTTGTGAAGTAAACATTTCTGTGTCCAAGTCTTAGTTTAGCAGGTAGCATGGGGAGTTGGACGCATTCAACCATGAGTTAGGAAGACAGTATTGGAAACATGGGCTGAGTGTTTATTGTGTGATACGAAAGGTTGTATTGATTCTTTATAAACGTGCATTAAGAGGATAGATCTCAGAGGGAATATACTTAATAGTTTGTAGTAAACACTGGCAGATAGTGCTCTTTAAAATGATTGGCTACCTTCCTAATCCCTGTTTGACATTTCTAATGACAATTTGGTCACTGCATTTTATAATATTTCTAATGCAAGATTGACGGGGATATATTTCTTGTTTTCTAAATGAGATCGTTGTCCCTCTTCAAAAAGAATGTGCATTTTTAATTTAAAAGTGCATCTTCATTATCAAAGGACAATGAGTTTTATTCCAGCACTAACCAACTGCTGAATCTCATGCATAAATTAGACTAATTTACTTTGGTTTTGATGAAGCATCACTGGAATGTGAAACAATAGAATGCTTGAATTAAATTTGTCTTGTAAAGCAAGCCTGAACATTTATTTGGAACTACTTTTTATGGTTTTACATCTTTTTTTTTAATCATCTTTTCATCTTGCCTGAGGCATTTTCTGCTGCTGTTTAGGCATAAACTAGTATTAATGTATTTTATGACTGAAGATAAAGCACTAAAAGATTAACAACTAAGGTTTATGCTGTGTTGTTAGTCTTTCCTGGTTGCTCAACACAGCTTCTCTTGAAGCATCTGTACATTTGCGTTGGATGATAGCATGAAAAGGAAAGAAGAATAAAAGTGAACCTTACTTGGTTCTCCACGCCTTCTTCTTTTCATTCTCTTCCCTTTCCCTGGACCTGTCACATGCCAAATGGAAAATAGCTCTTGTTTTTTCTGAGCCTGTTGTCTGTTCTGTTTGTAATTCTTGCCCAAAGGAGAATTTGCCCAGGTCCCATTGCCTCCAGTGCAGCTGCAGAGTGCTGGGCAGTCCCAACCATGTCTGCCATACGTACACAGATCTGTGTCACAACATGTGTTCGACAGATCTATATGCTAATAGCTTTTGAGTGAGCTGTAAGCCATACATGCCCTTTGCCTTATCGGTGCAGTAGATCTGATACATCACAAATTTGTGGGGCTAGGTGAATTGTGTGACACAGGTGCGTGTTTCTCAGATGTATATCTCTTTCTGGAAAACCTTGGACATGAATATGAGAGCCAAACTTCAACTGAGCTGACTTCACAGGGCTATTGTGTGGAAGAGGCATGCTATGTAGTGATACATTTAAGGGCATTTCCAACAGCGGCAGCTTAGGAGTTGAACACAGGCCATCACACAGATTCAGGGGGAAGAAGAGAGGCTAATGTTTGTGAGGAGCTCAGGAGCCACTGCCGAGAACCGTGATGTCTTCCATTCTTAAAATATGAGCAGGTACTTGTGTGTCTCCTTTATTATTATTTTAATAGGAGGAGTCAGGTTAAAAAGGAGGGTGTTTTAATGAGTTGTAGTACTGATAGCTGACAAAAGTAGAAAAGCCAAGAGGTAAAGGCATGGTTTGGAAAAGCAAACAAAAGAATTAGCTCTCAGTTTGTTATTTGACTTTTGTCAGGTACTGTCTGAGTGTCTTGTACATTTGAATTACAAGCTCCTCAAGGAAGGGAGCTAGCACAAAATGGTGCCAGCGCAATATGCCTTGCAGTATATGAGAAACAGGACATTGTAAAATAAAAAAGGAAAGTTGCAGAAAATGCACATTCTTTTTCTGTGGGTAGTGGTTGCTCTCCATTTATGGGAAATGAGCAAATAGATGAAAAACAGTTAATTTAAGCTGGATCTGGCGTTTCTTAGGAATCAATCAAATATTTCTTAGGAATGAAAATGCTCAGAAGTAGCTAAATGATACCTCAGTTTCCTTTCTCATACAGGACACTTTCCATAGAAGACTGGGTTTTGCTGGATTTTTGTCCAGTCCAGCTTCTCTGTTTTTTTGTCTGGCGACACAGGTCCAAACATTTTCACCTTCAAAACAGGGTTGCTGTCATTTAAGGCACAATTCCATCTATCCAAGACAAACACATCATCTAGCATGTTGAGTTGAAGATTAGATCCAATGCTGTGCTAGAACTGGATTGTCCCAGCTGAAATACAAATCCTCAGTGGTTAGTGGCCCAACTGTTGAGAGCAGTGCCACCTACTACTGATAGGTAGTGGCCACATTTCTGAGAAGTGTCATGGGAGGTCTGATTGGGTCAGGAGGTGAAGCAAATAAACTGTTTTAGCTAATATTTATCCACCTTAGTACTGAAATGGTTTATGTCCCACTGTAGCTTATTGAGCCATTTTGGTGTGAGGTAAAACTAGACAGAATAGAATGTACCTTCCATCATTTAGATAAAGATGCGGTGCATTCGAAGATGGAAGTTGTACATGTTCTTGAGACTTTCAAATTTGAAGTAATTTGAAGAACTGCCTTAGAATGTTTGTTTTTACTGAGGCAGCAGAGCTGAAAAATCAGCAGTGAAGGATGGAGTTAAGGTATCCTCTGTCAAGGTGGGAACCAACGTTAGAATATACTGTCAAAGAGGGAGCTTATCTCAACCACGCAGTGTAAAGCAACTTCTTAATAGCTGAAATGATTAGTAATGAGGGAAATTGAGTTTTCAGTTTCATTTTATTTGTTTGAGGACATGAATGGTAAAAAAAAGAGTGTCATAGAACCTGGAAAAGGTGAAAATCAGAATATTTTATGGCCTGGATTTCTTATGAGAACTAGATAACATAAAAAAGCATTTATTGTTAGTCAGCTAATACCTCAAAGTCAAGTCCATAGCTCTGAAGAGAAATGGCATTTACATTGCTAACAATTAGAAACTGTAGATACTTGAATAAAATTGGATCAGAGATAACAATTATGGCTTTTTACAGTGGTGGAAACTTCTAGTGATGGTGGGTCTATGAGGATTTAGTTACAATCCCGCCCTTGCCCATTTTGGCCCATCTTTACTTTTTTTGGTGCTTTTCTGACCCTATACGTACTTTAATGCCAGATTGAGATGCTCAATGTATTTTTTTGTTCAGGTAAATAGCATTGTTGGCAGCTTTGTGGTGCCTGGCTTCTGTAGTTTTTTAGCTGATCATGATACAGTCTGCAAATCCAAGTCTATTTCGTGAAACTTCAGCTAACTTGAGTCTCAAGCCTTGTATTCTAATGCTCTTTCTAAACTAGGTTGTTATGTTGTTTATAGGCATATAGTGTTGACTGGAGCCAAACTAGAGGAGAGCAGCTAGTGGTGTCTGGTTCATGGGATCAAACAGCCAAGCTGGTATGTTGGTTTTCTGCTGAAGGTGAAAAATGTGGTTTGTTATGGATCTGATAGTTCTTTGTGTTAAGAAACAACATTGATTCATTTTTCCTCTTTATTTTTACACTGAGGCTGAAGTTCTCTTTTAACTGAGACGTTGCTTTATCCCTCAGTTGCTATCAGTTTAAATATACAAATACTTTTCATGATACATGGTAAAAATAAGTTAATTTAGTCCTTTCTGTGTGTATAAAGCTTTTTTATATATGAAACCCTTTCCTTTCTTATTGAATGTGTACCTCAACAGTTTTCTTTTTACTTTATTCAGTGGGATCCAGCTGTGGGCAAGTCATTATGCACTTTTAAAGGCCACGAAGGGGTCATTTACAGCACTATATGGTCTCCACACATCCCAGGTTGTTTTGCATCTGCCTCAGGTAAAGGGGTTCTCACAACAAAAAAACCTTAACTGTTGTTGGATTAGTTCAGCACTTTGTCCAGCAGATGGTAGTGTGTGTCATACATAAAAATGGAAGAAGGAAAGAAACTTACTGCTGCAGCTGGATTTGTAGGCTCTGTTACAATCTGTAAATCATCCTCTTGGCCATTTAAACAGGGATCAGCAGTTTTCTAGCAGCCACTTCAATGACCTTGTGGCAATTTTTTCTGTTACTTTATGTAGCTGTCTTCCATTCACCTAACTCCTGTTGCTGACCACTGAATCATGTTGTATGCTTTATTTTGTGTTCTGGTGTATGTTTTTGTTAAAATTATCTCAAGTGTCAGTAGACTGTTAGGTCTGTGAGAAACATAGTCAATTCCTGTTGAACTGTTTTAAGTACTGCTGGAGATCTCCATGCTGTGTTCTTTGGGAAAGGTAATCATCAGTTTTACTTTTCTGCCTTGGCCAGTGCTATGAATCTTGCTGGTCAATACAATCATAATTAAGTTGGATGTACCTAGAGGCAAAGACACTGTACGGTGAGCTGGCAGTGTTTTCCAAACACTGCTCCTGCTCCAGAGGCACAAGGAGAGCTCTGGAGTGAGACAGGGAGCCTAACTGGTGACTAACTGAGCGAGAGATTCTGTGAGCCATGGAGTTTGCTTGGGAAATAGAGGGGCAGTAAGACACTGCCTTAATACAAATATTGGTAGATTAACTCCAGTGGCTTAAATTTCTTTGATTTCAAGTCTGTTGGAAACCTGTATTGATTTAAGTAGAAATTGTTTAGCTCTTCTATCAAGAGGGTAAGCAAGTATAAATATGTTTTCCTGTTACTGAAATTAAAAAGAGACAGTGAGTACACACAGATACTGGTCTTCCCTATTCTGTGGGAAGTTTGATGAAAAAGTGCACGACTTTCATAAAATTTCATTCTGGCTATTTCCATCTGACTCTGCTTGCAGACTTGAACTAGAATGACTAGCAAGTTACATGTATTTGTTCTAATGTAGTTGTGCTTGGAAGCCAGGTGCTGGTGCCCAGATATTTCGAACTTATTTGAAGATTCATTGAGGTAATACTTAGTGAGGTACCTATCAAATAAGATGTGCAGAAACTTATAGGATTGAGCCCTGTACGCTGTATGAACAGTTCTACTGAAATGCAGCTATATGCTACAGAATACTAGCTAAGTAAGCGGAGAAAACAAGGCTTGGTGTTTTTTTGCAAATTCTAGGGCATGTTGTGATCTCTTTAAAGTCCTGGTCAGAAGCCTCCCTTCCATGGTAGTCTTACTCATACAAAATTTCTGACATTCTGGATGAACAGCTGATCCAGCTAATTATTTCAAATTTTATTATCTAGGCTATGAACCCAAACTCTCTTCTAATACATTGCCACTTGAACAATTTTGGGAAACGTTGATTGTTCGATGCTACGTGTGATGGTATTTAAATTGGGTACAGCAACATACAATTGATCTGTTCTTTGAGTGACTCAGTGGGTGCAGCTGCAGTAAGTTTTGACTAAAACACTAAAGAGTTCCCATTCTTTTATGAATTTTACTTTGACTCTTGAAAGGGACTAACACATACTGCTGGAGCTTGAAGTTAATTGCAGTCAGTTTTCACCAATTGATGACTCCATAGTATTTCATAGAAAAAACAACACAAAAGACAATCTTTTTCTTCTGTAAGTACTACTCAGGTGTGAAATAAAATCTTATAGTGTAGTGCTAGGTGTAAAATCGTCAGGTAAGAGAAAATGAAGTCTTCAAAATGACAGTGCACTTTGTTACAGTTTCTAAAATAAAACAAGTGGTGTGCTTCTAAATGAAGTAACTTCAAACCAAAGATCTTGCATAGAAATCATGAAGTACTGATGTGGAAAAGGTTGTTTGGTTTTTTTTTCTTTTTGTTTGCTTTTTGTTTTATTTTTTGTTTGCTTTTGGTTTTAGTTTACATTGGAATTTTCCTGTCATTTGATTAGACTACTTCATTACAGAAGATATGTATTGGGAGTTTTTTCTTTGGTCAGCAGGATTGTGGGTAGTAGAAGTACTCATGACCCTCTAGCTCTGGGTATAAATGCCATTTTCTTACTGTAAGAAAGGCATATCAGATAGTTTATGTTAAGAGAGTGACTTCACTGTTTAGTGTTTAATGGGCCTCTTCTCTGCCAGTCAAGATGAAAGTTAAGTGGAATTGTTTATGAGGCTGGACCTCCTCATTTGAAACCTGCTATGATCCATACACTTTATAAGGATGACAGAAAAAGCTGAATATGACTGATGACTGATCTTCTGTTGAGTTACAGTTGGAGCTGGAGACAAACTGCAATCTCAATATGATAGTACTGTGCTGAACTTACAGCTGTTCCCTTCTTTGATACGCTTGCTGGAAAGGTTGACCTAAAGTTTTGTGGTCTCTTCTTTTGCAACCTTGTGTTGTCTTGAAAGTTAGTAAGTGCAAACGTGTCTGGAGGGGAACTTTTTGTACTTCCTTTCATCTCCCCTTTTTCTTTTTTTTTTTTACTTTTGAAACGGTAGCTATTTGAAGGGTATTGAAACATTGTCTTTTTGAAGGAGGTGGCACTACCTTAGGATTGTAGTGCCTCTGTGTGTGTGTTCTTTCTTGCCTCTCCTGTCCACTTTCTCTCATCCCACCTCACACATACTGACTCACACCCACATACTTAGTCATATCTTAATAGTATAAAGTCTTAGCGCTTCAGACCAGAAATGAGCTGGTTTATGTTGCAGCAGCTTCATTTTGCATGTGTTAGTAAAATAAGTTAGGTATGTTGTTAGCCATAGATTGGAAAAATGTTGTTCTCAAAGTGTTTCCACTTTAACTAAATTTAAGTAAAGCAATGCACTTAAAAAAAAAATATTTTAAAGAAAATAACAGGGAAGGAGGTTTAGGAATCTTTTGCCTGCATCACCCCAGTCCTTTTTCTGCCTTTATCTGAATCCACATAGATGTCAGCAGAAGTTTAATTTCCACTTAACTAATTAGTTTGTGAACTCTGAAAACAGAAAACTGAGCACAACTGCTAGCCACAGTAAAGTAGCTGCTCAGAAGGACCATTATGTGCCTAGACAACTTTTGCCTGAAGCTAATAAGGTTAAATCTTTGCTTTTGGAAGGTGACTTTTTCTCTAACTGTTATGAGACTAGAAAAAGAATACAAGTGAAGAAAATGAGGAACCTAAGACTGCAATATAAAGCAGTTGAAAAAGAATTTGATACTAAGTGTAGTTATTTTGCTTCATTAAGTCTTCAATCTGAATACACACAGGGAAACTAAGTTTGTCTGCAGTAGACAATAAAATGCAATTAGATTACAGAAGATAAATATGTCTGATGCTTCAGTTAAATTAGCTTTTATTCAGCATCTAATACACTTCCATTTAACATTTACAGGGATGTGTGAGGTACCTTACAATGCTGTTGTCTTCATGTACAATCAGTTGTACTCTCAAAAAGCAAGTAAATGGCTTATCTCTTTTTGTTTGAAAATGGGAGTTAATAGTAACAGAACAAACTGTTAATTCTGTATGTGTAAATAACTGCTTTTGTGATGTCAGTAACGATTTCTGAGCTGATAAGATAAGCAGGATGTTCAGGTGTACGTGCGGCACCAAACCAGAGCCCTGGTAAATGTCTGCCTTACACTGAAAAAACAGTGATGTGGAAAATGTCATTAAAGAAGTGACATAAATGTTTAACAGCATCTTCATGGCTAAAAGGGTTTAATGAGTCATTGTGCCATTTGCCCAGAGGGTCTCTTGGGTTTTTTGTTTTGTTTTGTTTTTTTTACCCAGAGAGCAAATTTGTGGGAAGCACATAAAGAAAGTGCCAAAAGCACACAACATTAGTATATAGTAAAATGTAAATCAGTTGTACTAAATAATTCTCCATAACTGCAGATCAGTAGGCCCTGCTTGGTCCTGTGGTTTATAAAGAAAGCGTCCTTCATAGTATCATCTATTTTTATTGCCCTTTAAATTTAACAGTGGGAAGTAATTAATGAGTACCATTTAACCCTTATCTGCATAACTATAGTATTCTTCGATACAGATATGACACTGGCAAATGAAAATATTAATGTTTAGGATTTGGCAAAGCCCAGATTTAGAATTATCTTAACTACTGGGACCTCAGTATTAATGCTGCATTCATTTTTAAATCATTACTACACTCCTTAAGTTTACCGATCAGGGTAAATACATAGTTTTCTTAACATCTTAAACAAAAA